GTTTTTTTATTTATTTTTTAGTATTTTTTTGTAATCATTATTTGTAATACTTTCTTCTGACACTAGGTGGGGCTGTGCCCCACCTGCCCCTAATGACCCGCCGCCACTGCTTGTACTATCAAAATGTAATAATATTACGTCACATCATGCTTACCCTTGATCCAAAGTGACTTACAAGAAAGTTCAATCAACCCTATGATGCTAATGGCCTGTCCACACGGCTGGCGTGCGTTGAAGCTTCAACGCTTCTTCCCATTCACTTTGAATGGGGTGACGTCACGCTTTGCCTAACTGCATTGTGGTTCCGTTGCTTCGCTTTGCTCGCGTTGCTCGCTTCAAAAGTTAAGAAAAGTTCAACTTTTTAAGCTTCGACGGAAGCGTCAGCCAATCAAATCATATGCCAGTACAAGCTATAGCCAATCAAAAGGCTTGTGTGTCCGGGGTGGGAGATTCATGTGATTGGTTGGTGGAGCTTCAGCTGCGTAACTCAGAACAGCAAGAATCCTGCAGGTACATCAGCTCTTAATAAGTCAAACAATGTAACGCTCTACATACAGAACTTACATGCTTTTTGTTTTTTTTAATTGTATTTGTCAAGGTGCATTTGAAACAGGTTTTCAGGTCTGCTACGGTAATGTAAAGGCCACCATCAGGTCAAATGTCAACGTTATACCCAATCATGTAATAATTGCCTTTCAGTTTCATAAAAGGTGTTGAATGTCTTTTCTCTCTCTCTAAACTGCTGTTGGCAGTATGATAAAGTTATAAAATATGTAACTTTTCTCTACAGTTGCAAGAAAGCAGATCACCTCAGAATAGACAATGGATCAGTTGTGGTGATTGACATAATTCACCCACGGAACTATGGGTTGGGGGTATTGTTCCGCACGGACATTTGTTAACCTTACGTACTGTTTTCCCTCCGGTCTTCTCTTCCCGGGCTTGAAGCTGATAACATGTGTTTTCCTCTGATAAAGTCTAACTTGTACTTTTGATACACCGCCTTCGACTCCCGTCTCTCGGCACTACATTGGTGACACCGACATAAGTCTCGTAGAAGTATCCGAGACTGAACCGAACATGGCAAATAACGCAGTTTTTCTCGAACTGCCGGAGTTTTTGGGAGACGTCTGCGGCTGCAGGGTTCGCACAGACTGAGGCTCAGTTCACCCTCCGTGGAATGACCGATGATGACGCACGCTATCTCCACATCGTTTCGGCACTGGGAGACAGCAAGCCTTCCGACCACATGGAGATGATGCACGACCTGTACGGAAGAACCCAACTTTTTGATCATGGAACTGTTTCTTCGGCGCATGCGGCCACATGTCCAGACAGCGCTCGCTACCACGGCTATTATTGAGCCCCTCGCTTTAGCCGAAGAAGCTGACCGGTTCTTACTGGCCGCCCGGCGTTTTACCCCTGAGGTGCTGGCCCCGACACGCAGCGGCACCTTCCCTGGTAGAGGCACGCCACCTAGCAGAGGCTCCGGGGCCGACGACAGCGACTGACGGCTAACGACGACGACTAACAGCTAACGACGACGACTAACAGCTAACGGCTAACGACATCCATCTGTTAACATCCATCTGTTAACCCTTTTTGCGGTGCCTGAGAGGAGGTTCGACCATGTCTAGGTCGACCTCGTGTGGATCCTCTCATAGTTTCACCTACTTGTTTACGACAGTGGACAGGACGACCCTTTCGAACTTTTTGCGTTGCCTGAGAGAAGGTTCGACCATGTCTAGATCGGCCTCGTGTGCACCCTCTCACAGTTTCACCGCCTCGACGGCGGCTTCGGACGTCGCCCACGCTTTCATCGGCACGTGGGTGGATTGTGACCATAGGTGAATTCTGGGGGGGCTTGTGTGGTGATTGACATGATTTACCCACGGAACTATGGGTTGGGGGTATTGTTCCGCACGGACATTTATGTTAACCTTACGTACTGTTTTCCCTCCAGTCTTCTCTTCCCGGGCTTGAAGCTGATAACATGTGTTGTCCTGATGCTTAATAAAGTCTAACTTGTACTTTTGATACACCGCCTCCGACTCCCATCTCTCGGCAGGCACTACACAGTCAAGGAAAAACTTCAATCTAATTAAAATAATGATCACTTATTTGGAGGCGTGTGGCGCAGTGGTGTGTGCGCTGATCTTTGAATCAGACGATAGCAGCTTCGAGTCCCACTGCAGTCAGCATGTCGTTGTGTCCCTGGGCAAGACACTTCACCCCAAACTTCACCCCAAATTGCTCCTGTGGGGATTGCCCACAGGTAACTCGCTTTGGATAAAAGCGTCTAACAAGTAACATGTTATGTAATGTAATCACATTAATCTGCATATCCTTTTGCCTATCTCAGTCCGGATCACATTATTCACTTATTATTGTTATACACTGCTGGTTTTGCTTTACATTTTCAAACATTGGTTGTTATAATTGTCAAACAGGCATTACATTTGATGTGATATCGAAAGTGTCTAAAACACTCATTAATCACTTTGTGCATCTGCACCTTGATTCCTGTGAACTCAGTACAATATGAGTACTAGGACAGAAGCAATGTCAGAAACAACACTGAGCGTGGGTCCTACTGTATCCGTGCTTTTTTTTAAATAAGTAAAATAGCGGCGAATAAACCCCCCATTTCACTGTGCTGCTGTATTTCTTTTATTGCACATTCATCATCACGCGGCGCTGTCCTGTTGTTTCTACAGCTCGGTGCTGCGGTGTGCTGCCATCTAGCGGTCATACAGACCAACAACACGGTAAGCGGCACTTCAGAGACTATCGAAGGACACACGGAAGGTTTCTCATTTCTGTAATTCCCCTCCTCGACTCCTACCCTCGTGTCCTAGGGCCCTTCTCACTTCGGTTAAATGGATTCCTTGCGTCCCTCACTTGCGTCGTTTCCCTGTGACTAGTCCCTCCTACCAGGGAAGCATGGAGAGATGCAAGGAAACCACGAGAAGCAGGGAAATTAGTTTTAAGAGTAATGGGACGTACTTTCCTCCGGAGCGTCACGTGAAGCGACGTCCGTTTGTGATGACGCTGCACAGCTGATCGTCTGACAGCAGCTCTGTCCTCGTTGTTTCACACCCCCGCCTCTGTTAGCACACATTTACTGACACAAACATTTGTATCATCTGTTGTAGACCCAAATACATTAAATAAAATAAGAACTAATTCTCAAAAAAGATAAACGCCATTCTTAAAATGTATAAACGAACAATAGTTTGATTAATATTGATTAGAGTGCACAATAGAAATAACATAATTGAGAGAAGAAAAAGAGATATGTTATCTATCAAAACCCAGTTAGATTAACATTCATTGGATTGCACACTTTGTTTGTGTGGATATGTAGTAAATTAACATTTTAATAGCACTTAATGACTGACTGAATGGAAATGACAATAAATGAAAATGTAAAACGAAAAAAGCGATCATGAAAATGTTTCCAATAAATAAAGAAAATGATTTTTGACCACTTTGTTGTTCAGATATATCACATATTTGTAACTAAATGAGACATTAATTTAAACAAAACACGGTATAAACTGAGGAGTGACTCCCGTGAGGTTCATGTATTTTCTTCACTCTGCTGGGAAACTGCTCTCATGTCAAGAAGCATCAGATCAGAGCCCTAGAGAGATAATCTCTCTAGGGCTCTGCATCAGATCAGTGCATGCGCTGCCTCGTCCAATCAGTGAGCGATACACAGTAAGGGGGCGGGGCGAGTGTGTGAGGATTTCATCGAAGGATGGTCTGGTGGTTCCTCGGTTATAGTTCCTCTGTTATCGCTCCTCGCTCCTCGGTCCTCGGTCCTCCGGCAAAAATAAGGCCATTGGGACGCTACTCAAGATGGCGCAGACAAATCAACTTCCGGTGCGACCGAGGAGCGAGGAAATTAAAAAATAAGAGAAGTGAGAAGGGCCCTTAGTCCCGCTCACAGGAGATGCGAGCGGAGGTGTCGACGAAGTGAACCGAGGAGAGAGGAGGGGAAGCAGCAGGCGGTTAGAGAAATGAGAACTCATCTCCTCTGAGCGGTCATTTTAAAGAGACGTCCATTAATGATGACAGGAGGCACAGCAGCTCTGATGGGCAGTAGGCCTACTGTGTTGTTCATGACAATTTAGGCCTATTTAGCCTATACTTTTAATTCATTGACACTGACAGTGCGGTATAATGAGACAATAACAGGCTACAGATGCGGACATAGGCCACACACACACACACACACACACACACACACACACACACACACACACACACACACACACACACACACACACACACACACACACACACACACACACACACACACACACACACACACACACACACACACACACACACACATTTATATTTATACAATTTCAGAATCAAACAAGTGTGAGAGCACTCTCTCATAATAACGTAACACTATCAGCGACTGGATATAGGCCTATCCCCCCCTCTCTGGTCGCTACAATGAGGAATTGAAATGACGGGCCAAAAGTTTTATTTACAAGTAGGCTATTCAAAGTAAGCTGAGACATGTCTGTCCACTGCATCTACGCACGCACACACACACACAACACACACACACACACACACACCACACACACACACACACACACACACACACACACACACACACACACACACACACACACACACACACACACACACACACACACACACACACACACACACACACACACACACACACACACACACACACACAATCTTGCCTAGGGCAGCAAATTGGTCAAGGCCGGCCTTGACATCAGGGATTGATAGAGTAGCTCAAAAGAGTAAAAGGAGATGCATGTTAACAAAATGTACATATTCCATGGGCTGGCCTGGGTCCCAGACTGAGGTGCTGAGGTGCTGAGGTGCTGCACGGACCTCACAGCTGTTCTCACTGTAAACATCGCGTCCAGGGGATGAATGCAGAGCTGTCATTGGCTGAGATCAGTCCGGCCGTGCGTGCGTGCGTCACGACTCTTTTAAACATCACTGTTGCCGGAAATACATCCGCGGAGGATCCCCGGAAAAATGTAGAGAAATTAGAAACCTATACGATATTTGAATTAAATCTAGATTATCTAAAAACATTTATCTTGTTATTTGCGACATTTTGAAATGTTCAAGACTTTTGGTTTGAATTCGTTGCTGACAGATACAAATAATTTAAGAAAAAGGTGACAGTAGCAGTCACGTGATCTTACGACCCGGAAGAGAAACATTGTTCCTGCTCTTCCTTCAAAAAGTGAGTTATCGTATACTGTAGGAAAGAATAGGGGGAAACTAACTATTGTATAGTGTTTTGAGAGTCTGGAGACCTTCGTTCAGGTAGGAACCCCCTGGGTTCCAGCAGCAGAGTCACAGGAAGCTGCGTCATATCATGCTAACTGCTGAGATGGAGACTGGAGAGAAGGTATTTATCAGCAGCTAACTGTCATTACCAAGCTATGATATCTCTGCATTTACTGCAAAAGCATTATAACGATTAGAATGACACATTAGTATAGGCTAGTATTCATTCCTCTGACAGTTACTGGATACAGAGTTTACAACATGTTTTACTTGTGTTAGTGCTGCCTGTACTTTGTTAATATATTAACTTTAATTATTCACTTACTTATGTATACATCGGTTAATTGCGCGCATATCTATATACTAGTACAATTCGCAGTATTTTATTCCACTATTTTTGACTTTATTCTACTTTACATGTAGGTGACTTGTTGCTGCATTAACTTGCACAATTATTTTTGCACTATTTTATTTTTTACTGTAGGCCTATTTCTATTTCTAATACATTGTTCTATTTCTCTGTTTAGTTTGTTGTCTTAAGTATATTGTAGGTTGTATTGAGGAGCCTGGGACTTCATATTGTCCTCTTCACACTAGCTGTAGCTTGTGTGCATACTGTATGTCACTAAGGCCTTTGACAGTTAAGTATAATAAACATAATGATACTGAAAGGGGCTTCTCTACATTATGACTTTATTTACTTAACCTAATCAAATGTGCTGGTTATTCTTACTATACTTTAGTTTTTACTAGTATTCAGTTTAAATTGCAAGATGTACTTTTTATTGTTAAATATATTTTTCATACACATGTAGTAATGTGATGTACCCTGCTCCGTGTTGCAGAGATGAGCCTGTGTGTTCTGGATGAGGACAAGTTCCACCTGTGCTGTCAGCTCCTCCTGCAGCTGTCGGAGCAGCTGGGGGACGGCTGGAGCTGGGAGGGGGGGCAGGTGAGACCTCTGACCTCTGTCCTAACTGAGATCCTCTGCTGCTGCTTTGTTGTTGTTGTTGTTGTCTTATTTCTACACTTGAGCCTTTAGGAAGCTAACTCCTGCCCTCTGCTGCCCTTTCTCAATGCACTCCTGGTTTGGAGTTATATTATTAATATCACAATGTGAATTTGCATTTATCCTCCTCCACCTATATTTTAATCAATTTTTTCTATGTCTATTCCATGCTCTTTTATGTTTATTTTCATGTATTTTACTGGTTACTTTATTCTATGTGATATATATTTTCTGTGACTTTTAAAAGATATCAAATGTCAACTTTGAAGCACTTTGGACTACAATTCTTGTATGAGAGGTGCTTCACAAATAAAGCTCATTATTATTATCACTGTGGGCGGAGCCTGCTGTGCTCCATGAATATTACTAACGGTTCTGATCCGGCTCTTCTCAGGAGGGCTACCTGAGGAAGACTGCTCTCAGGTCAGTGGTAATCGACTCCAGCTCAGTGTGGGACTATGAAGGAGAAGGGGCAGACACTTCCTGTCCCTCACGTTCTGAGCAGCAGGAAGGGGAACAGGAACAGGTAAATGAGATGCCAAAAATCATCATTGGCATGTTGTTATTTATCAGTCAATGAATGAACCTTCGATTAAAATACTAACAATCTGATCAGATCAACACACTGTGGTCAACTTAACCTCAATAACATAACTTAACCATGAACACTATGTTAGAAAATAAAATTAAGGAAAATTAATTTCATTTAAAGCTGTAAATCAGGTCATAACAAAAAAGGAGAGAGAATTCATTTCTGTCAGCCTCAATGAAAAACAGAAATTGAACAGACGTGACTCTCCAGGAGATACAGCTTTGCCACATTCCTTCATTATTAATCCCTTTTGTTTCTCACATGCATAGTCTTGTAGTATTAAATAATAAGTTCCTGATTTTAAATATTCTTGCAGGTCAAATGTCATTTAAGTGTGCTAGTGCATTTTTTTTTATTAGATGAATTTGCCTAAAGAAGGATGATTCCATGCTTCAGTTTCAGACTAACACATACAATGTACCGAGAGACAGAGCTGATGTTTTATTGTCCAACATCTGTCCTCCTCCACAGGCTGCTGTTGATGCCTCAGCTGATACTGACAGCATCAAAGGTGACATGGAGGATGAAGATGAAGATGACGGCGTGTGTGTGGCGTCTGCAGGCAGTAGCCAGCTGCTTCAGTACGAGTATCACATCCTGCACTCCTGCAGCTACAGCACACCGGTGCTCTACTATAGAGCCTGCACTCAGGGTCAGTCACACACACACACACACACACACACACACACACACACACACACACACACACACACACACACACACACACACACACACACACACACACACACACACACACACACTCACACACAGTATACACACGTCACCTACAGCTCTTAAAGCATATAATATCAGGATACAGCCGTTGTGTATTTTATTATGTGAAGCACTAAATGGTTTTAGAATAATATCGACTCTTTGTTTGTAGATATCTACTAAACCAGGGGGGGAACCTCCGGCCCCCGGTCCGTATACGGCCCGCGAGACAATTTGATACGGTCGAGGTAATTTATAAACACAAGCAAAAAAGAAAAAAATTAGAGAAATCTAGACCGCAAAAAAATTAAACAAGCGAGTGCCTGTTTTTCCTAGCCAAGGTCAGGGTCCTTGAACACAACACGAGCCTAACGTGTCATCACGTGGCACATGTCTCGTCTGATAGGGGTGCAGTTCTGAAGGAGAGCACCAGGGCTGAAGTCGAATAGTCCATTTAGCTTAGGACCCTTCCTAACGGAGTGAAATGACCCGGAAGTCCCTCAGTGGCAGCCATGATAAGTGCCGTTCCAATTCTCTAGATAGAAAAGGAGGTTTCAAACTTCCTTTATAACCTCCTTTAGCTTAGGAACCACTGGACCTCCCTAACCGAAAGGAGAGGAGAAAATGCTGCCCCACAATGCCTTGCAGCCGCAGCATTTGCCGTCACTCAACAGTCGGCCGTTCACGGAAACAACCGATTATGACGGAGAAATGATATCATGAAAGTTACGGTTCTTATTAAGCATTTTAAAACGTATGTGGTAAGTTGCCAAAGTGCTTTGTTTTGAACGTTCATCAGTATTATAATCAAAAAGAGAAATATGAACGTTAGTTTTTACTGAAATGATCAAATAAAGTCAACATTTCACTGAGCTGTGTGGGGTTTGTTCAACTTTTAAAAGATGTTTGAATGGTGATATACACAGTGATAGATGTTAAGGACTAACGTTTATAATAAATACATTTGTATTGATTTTAAGATCTTTTCATAGTTCATACAATCATACGTATTGGGATCATTTGTATTAATGTGGACCGGAGGGAGAGGGTGACGAGCATAAGTTTCACTTTCCTTTTTTATTTCAATTCCAACTTTGGTCATGAAGAATATGTTTCTCTGTTGTCCCCGTTCATAAAGCATAAAACAACAGCATCAGAGCACGGTGCAGAGTCTCTAGATGAGTTTACAGTAGTCCCTCGTTCTTATTAAACATCCATGTTGTAGTCCGCTGTATAGAAAACTGTAGTTTCCATAGTTCCCCCACAGCAGCAGACGCACATTCATGACGTCCGCTGGAGCATCATAAACACGTCGGAAAGTGCAGTCGATTCTCTAAAGTACCGCAGTCTCTTCTCCTAAGTCCTTTTGAATTCTCCTATCCACTATCCCTTAACCCCGTGACGTTTCACTCAGAGGTCAAGGAATAGACGATAGGAGCTGATTTTTGGACTATTCGACTGCAGCCCAGAACGCCACTCCGGCACTTCCAAACATTGCAGTACTCTTAAGGAGCCGTACACATGCCGCAGTTTTTGCGTGGCTGTGTCTTTAGTTGAAAGCCCAGTGGCGATCTGTTCATCTGTCATACTGATCATACAGTCAATAACTTTGTTGTTATTAGCATCTGGTTAGCTAGCTATGCTAACGAATATAAGAAGCTTTTTCTACAACCAGTGAGGTAAAGGCACATCTTTATATGATCATTATTGTTATAAAAAAATAAGAGAATAATGTAAACTATAAAATACTATATGACAGTAAAAAAGTTGTTATTAATTATTACAAGAATACAGTTTGAAAGGAGAGTGATTTGTAAAATATCCATAAAGAAAAATAAATCTGTTTACGGTTCTGTTTCATATGGATGTTGAGAGATGTATCCATAGATCTCTTCATGTTGCTCTCAAAGCAGGGTCGGCTCTAGAACAAATCGAATGGGGGGGCAATCATTTACCACGGGGGGGCACATAATGCCGTCAACAACCAACACACCAACGCAACTTCAATTTAAAAAAACATGCTGTAAAGTCTATTGTCTTTCACACACATTGCAGGGTGTAGTGCTATTTTATAGCGCACCTATGACTTGTGCATACATGCACGGTTGTGGCACGACCACCAATATATGGACATAGACCACCATATAAAAAGTGTGCAAATGTATTTAGTATCCTATCCATGTGAACATGTTTTAGGTGGGGGTGGGGGCATGTTCCACTGGGAAGATTTGTTTTAAATATTGAAGTTGAAAGCATCAATCTGGTGCACTTTGAGAGCAAAATGAAGAGATCTATGGATAGCCTACATCTCTCAACACCCATTTGAAACAGAACTGGAAGCAGATTCACTTTTTATTTATGGATATTTTACAAATCACTCCCCTTTTTAAATGGTATTCTTGTGTTACTGTCCTATAGTATTTCATACCCGTTTTTCATTTATTCTCTTATTCTTTAATAACTATAATGATCAAATAAAGCTGTTCCTCGCAAATACTTGTTTACATAAATGGTGACCAAACCGTTTGAGACCCACTGAGATAACTTACACTAAAGTGAACTATCTAAACACTGAGAGAGTCCTTACCTCACTGAGCTGAGGTTATAAGATCCTCTCAGTCTGACAGGAGAGGACTCTCCTCCACCTTGGTGTAGAAACTTTTTTATATCCGTTAGCATAGCAAGCTAACCAGATGCTAACAACAACATTCCACGTTACCGCTCGCGCACTCACAAAATGCGCTCGTGCCACACACACACAGAGCCGAGCTTGAATGAAACACAGAGACCTAGAAGTACTTGTATTGTATATCATATTATTTTCGATGGCTTTACTGTATAATCAGTGTAACAGATGAACAGATCGCCACTGGGCTTTCATCCAAACACACGTAATGATAACAAAACAAAGGTCGGGGTCATTGGTCAAGCAACACACCAATCAGAGAGCAGCAGTGAGCACACATTTCTGATTTATTTCACACAAAAAACTTTTAGTGGAAACGTTTTCACTTATATGATTTTTTTTTTTTAAACGGCAAGGGGGCATGGCCCGCGAATGACCCCCCATGACGCCGACCCTGTCTCAAAGTGCACCAGATTAATGCTTTTAACTTCAACATTTAAAAAAAAAATCTTCCCGGGGGAGCATGCATGCATCCGGGGGGGACCCCCCTAGAGGAGGTTAGGTCCCCCCCCACTTAAATCATGTTCACATGGATAGGAAACGAAATACATTTGCACACATCTTGTGTCCATATCTTTCTGTTTTGGTGGTCATGCCACACCGTGCACGTGCATGCATACGTGAGTCATGGTAAAATATCTGGATTAAGAGGCTGCTTTTTCTTTGCACAGCATGAAAGAAAGGCCAAATGAATGGGCTGTGATTTTAGTTTTTTTAAGCAGAGGTCAATAATTTGTACGGCCCTCGGGGATGTTGTAAAAATTGAAATGGCCCTTGAGAGGAAAAAGGTTCTCCACCCCTGTACTAAACTAAAGCATACCAATAAATAGAGTAATGTAGGCCTCTTATATATCCTCCTGGGAACCGAGGAAAAAAAATGTTTTCCAATCTTCTTTATTTTTTATTTCCTACGTATTCAGGGTTAAAAAAACATCTTGCAATTTAGACTTTTTTAATTACATTTTATTTTAACACACACAGTTATTACAGTTTATATTTGAGGAAAGTCATGATCCTTCTGACTGGTTTAGCTTTAGTTTTAGCTGCAGGAATGGAGAGAGCACTAGACTATTGTACTGTCACTTTAACAACTTTATACTAGTACAAGTATAATTAGCTGTGTAAAATGGTACTTTTTCAAATTCAAAAGAAGGTGTAGAAACAACACAGACAATTAACGCAAAATCACAATAATAATAAAGTACATTTATAGAATCAACAATAGTATAAACAATAACAAATCCACAGCGCCTAAAACCTTAAACACACTATGAAGCAAAAAACAAAGGTTTCATCGTGTGTCACGTTTCATTTAAAAATGGTGCCCCCACATAATAACATTTCTAGTCTTTGAACGCATTTTTATTCCACTCAAATATCAGACTAAAGTTGCCATTGCTTTGTTCTGGAAAATAAATGTGCTGCTGTATGAGAGGGTCTGCACACCTTTGCATATTTGTAGTTTTCTTTATAAGTGATATTTCTTCTCTGTGTCTCCATGTCAGAGGGGCGGAGCCTGTCGTTAGAGGAGGTGTGGAGCTCCGTCCATCCAAACTACAGGCTGCGACTCCAGAACAGTCCTCTGAACACCATCACTCTGCAGGTAGCACCAGAGGCCTGTACTACAAAGCCGGTTCAACATAACCTGGATATGTTTGAGTTACCCGGTTTACCTAATCCAAAACAAACGCGCTCTCGCTAAGCGGTCCTACGATGCTGGTTATCAACTCTTTAACTCAAGCCAGGGTTTCTCTGTCCGGCTGAGTGCGCGTTCACATGAAAGGGGCGGGGTTTGACCAATCTCAAACATAGAGAAGCGTACTGACAGCGCAGCGTCATACTTCCTGAATGAAAAGTCAACTTTAATATTAGACATATGAAGAAGTTAAACTTTAAACATCCATGACTTAAACACTTTATCCAGGATAAAAGCCACATAGCTGCACCTGCAAGGTGAATACAGCTGGTAACAGAAAAAGTGTTTGAATGTGTACATTAACAGGTTTATGATATCACTGCCCCGTCTAAGACACGAGTGGATCTGACTTTAATTACATTTGACTCGAGTGTTTCGTTAACTTAATGTGTTGCTTAAAATAATACTTCTGCATACAGTATGTGACACTGTGAGTGTTGCACGGCCAGATACGGCTCAGCTGACTCAGATAAGGAGATATATGATACATTATGATGTGATATGAATGATATCGACGTCTGCACTCACAGTGCCGCGGATTGTACTTAATGTTACTCTGATCCGGTTACTTATGTTAACTTGTGGCAGATATTTAAGTAAGCTTTCTGAACGCTAATGTTATAATAGTCAGATTGCTCTGAAGATGGAGGTGATATTCTATTAATGTTCACGTTCACACAGTCAGTTGATTTTTGCCGGCCGTCTTTCCTGCAACGGCAGCTTTTCTGTATTTCCTTTCTCCTGTAATATGACTTGATCGCTTTAAACTCCGCACACTGAGCTCTGATTGGTCAGAAGGCTGTGCTTTCACTGAGTTGATCTCTTATCCTGCAACCAGTGGCGGCTGGTGGAAATTATTTTAGGTGGGGCTATTGTAATGGTGAATAAACCACACAGGGAACATTTTGAGAAATGACCCCTTAAATGATGACTTCTGGTGATGTTAGAGATATGAGAAGACTGATCAATACCTCCATAATCTTCAGTGTGGTTAGCTATGAATCTTCCAAAACTTCCAAACACCTTGTTCTGGACATAGTTTCTACAGTAAACTGTGCAACAGTACAGTAGGCCCACACAAACTGCACAACACCGGTTCTTTGGGAACACTCAAATGATTTAATTCCCATTTAAAATCAGGAGACTAAATACGAACATTATATGCAGACACAGACGTGGTTCAGAAACACAGAAATATTAGAAAACAGACCATGAAGGCAAACATCTAGTTTGATGGATGCTGTCAAAACTCAACTATATATGTGTGTGTGTGTGTGTGTGTGTGTGTGTGTGTGTGTGTGGTGTGTGTGTTGTGTGTGTGTGTGTGTGTGTGTGGTGTGTGTGTGTGTGTGTGGTGTGTGTGTGTGTGTGTGTGTGTGTGGTGTGTGTGTGTGTGTGTGTGTGTGTGTGTGTGGTGTGTGTGTGTGTGTGTGTGTGTGTGTCGTGTGTGTGTGTGTGTGTTTGTGTGTGGTGTGTGGTGTGTGTGTGTGTTGTGTGTGTGTGGTGTGTGTGTTGTGTTGTGCTGTGTGTGTGTGTGTGGTGTGTGTGTTGTGTGGGTTTGTGTGTGTGTGGTGTGTGTGTGTGTGTGTGTGTGTGTGTGTGTGGTGTGTGTGTGTGTGTGTGTTGTGTGTGTGTGTGTGTGTGTGTGTGTGTGTGTGTGTGTGTGTGTGTGTGTGTGTTGTGTGTGTGTGTGTGTGTGTGTGTGTGTGTGTGTGTGGTGTGTGTGTGTGTGTGTGTGTGTGTGTGTGTGTTGTGTGTTGTGTGTGTGTTGGTGTGGTGTGTGTTGTGTGTGTGTGTGTGTGTGTCCGGCGCCCCCTCTGCTGGGTCAGCCTTTCTTCATGCTTCACCCCTGCAGGACGGAGGAGTTCATGCGTCCGGTGCTGCAGGCGGCTCAGGACCAACACAGGTAGGATCCCTGCTGATGGCTCACCTGCAAACACAGTGCACGCATCACACTGTGCATCAGGCGCTTCAATTAACTCACATCTGTATGCAACTAAAAAGTGCATTAAGTTGTTGCTCGAGTTACAGCTGGTCCATGCAGCTCTAATATGACAGGTTATAAAGTCATTGTGCTGCTGCAAATCAGGAGAGCAAACCAAGTGCTTTTCATATCACGTCATACATAGTGCTGCACAATAAACCATTTATGGTCATCAGGATGTCAACGTGATCATTAAATACATTGCCCAAAACTGAGATATTGCACTTTTTATTTTGAAAGTTAGTATCAGTGGAATACTGCATTCTGTAACGTATTAATAAGATCATTTTGTCAAATAATAAAAAATTCTGACACAATTATTTTTATTTAATTCTAGATTTTCCTTCGATATATTGGCTGTGTAGATACAGCAAAATGAAAATGCAAACATAAGGGTTCTTGTTAACATTTCTGTGTGTGTGTGTAGGCCGGTGAACTACGTGTTGTCGTGGCTCAGTGTGGTGGGTCCTGTGGTGGGGCTGGACGTCCCTCTGAAGTACTCCACCCTGCTGCACCCTGCGGCCCCCCCCGGCAGCACAGAGCCAGGCTGACTCCGCCCCCTGTGTCTGTCAGCATCACTGTGGAGCCCCCCTGTACGGAGGCTGCATCACTAATCAGACCCTCAGAGGCTGAAGGTGGACTGTGTGCCAGAGTCCTGCACGGGTCTGATTGTCAAGATCCCCAAACCGACCCGAACCCGCATCTCCTATGAGCATTAAAAATGTGCAATTATTAACACACGCAGTTGCATATTTGGCTCAAAAAGCGTGGGATGTTGGTTATTTTCTCCATCTAGGATGACACCAAAAGCATCCCAGACGTTGGATTTCGCTCTTGAGGAAGTGTTATTGACAATGCTGTATTCTCCGAGCTCCGCCTTCACCTCAGCCATTTCGACATGCAGAGAACAGATCAAATCCCCTGACAGGCTCACACACTTTGGTGATGTCCTCATCTGATAATGATGTTTCATTTTTAGCAACAAAGTAACATTACTCAAAGTATATGTCGGACCCAACTCATGTACAGTATGTTTTGCATCTCCTCAACAATGGTCTGTATAGTTGAGTAGAAAAAAACTGTCTCCAGTTTCAAGTAGATTAACACACATTTGTAAGAAAAGTTTACAAAGAAGCACAAACCCCCTCTTTGTATTAAGCTAGCTGCCACATAAAGTACAGCTTAACATGCTAACCTTTGGTAGAGTTAGCTAAATTCACAGAAATGGCTCTCAACCGCTCTCAACTGATCTTCACTCCCGACCGTTAGTGCCAGTTAAAAGCCATGTTTTAAACCACTTTGTTTCAACCACTGCTGTCTCACAGTTCCTCCGTGTCCCGCCCTCTCTGTCTGTCACAGTATGTCTGTCTGTTTGTCTGTCCCTCTCTCTCTCTCTCTGTCTAAGTCTCTCTCTCTATTTATTTAGCTAAAATGGTAATCCAACTTCAACAGCATAATGAGACCTTGCTGGTGTACCAGCTTTCCCATGCTGGTCTTGCTGGTCTACCAGCATGGTCTTGCTGCTGAAGCTGGTACACCAGCAAGACTGCTGGTGTATGATCAACAAAATGAATGTAGAAAAAGTGTATACATAACAAGAAATAAAAAATATAGTCATAGAGTGCGAAGTCATGCCCATGTACTTCCGGTCCATGGGACCTTATTTTGGAAAAATAATGTATTGAAGTCAATGGAGAGAGAAAACGTATCTTTCGATCCCGTTTGAATTGTGCCATGAATTACACATATGTTTGTCAATCTTAAAAAATAATTTCAATGTCAAAAAAGTCAGTTTGTCGTAAAACTGTTGAAATATAAGACTATGAAAAATACGCAACTACAAATCCCAGAGTCGCGTAAGTGATGTCACAATTGTTTTCCTCCACTAAGAGATAGCTAAGATCAGCGCCATATAGATATAATCTATCTATATGGCGCTGGCTAAGATAAGATAACTTTAACAAGATGCCTGCGTGCTTGGTACCAGGTTGTTATCATACCAGCAATGGGTCTTGCTCATTCTTTCGCTTCCCGTCTGATGAAAGGACCAGGAGTGGCTGGATCAAGTTAGCTACCTGGCTAGTAGCTAGCACGTTAGTTAGCATTACAGTCTTGTCATTTTTATTAGCCTTAAAGGTGGGGTAGGTACTTTTGGCGAAACCAGCTCGAGTGCGCTAGAATTTGAAAATACACAGCCGGAACAAATCTGCCACTTCCTTATAGAGTCCCTCCTCCAACACACACGAACCCGCACATGACCAATGAGGGCACGAGATAAGTTTGTGCACAGATGGAAGGCTGACAGGCAGGTAGGCCATCCAGTTACTTTAGCCGGGCCGGCTCAGATGATTGGTCGTGCTTTTTACAGAACTACGGCTTCCACAGATGATATTTTTTTATGGATTTGTTGTCAAAGCACTTCAGATATTCATTGCTATTGGGATGTTAAGAGCATTCCATGGAATATAACAAAAAGTGTATCTCGAGCCGGTTTCTCAAACTTACCTACCCCACCTTTAATATGAAGTAACATTAAGTAACCCAAAATGTTAAACAGTAAGAGTAGTAGTCATATTTCGTGAACCCTTTGAAGAGTACTGTCACATCGGTGTGATCATTCTATAATCAGTGTTGGGACTAACGCGTTACAAACTAACGCGTTACTGTAACGCAACTACCTTTTGGGGTAACTAATAACGTTACTAGTCGTGATGTTACGTATTGCGCCGAGGCTTCGGAGCGTGTGTCGAGTAATCCCCAAAGCTTTTTGTAAAGCTTGTATCGAGGCTTGTATAGTTTTGGGCCAGTGACGTCATCGATGACAAACGAAGCCTCGCTGCCTGTCCATACCACGTGACTGCTTCAGGAAGCGCTTCAAATCGGTTGAACCGTTGAACCACAACGCATGGATGTATAATAAGAACCATATTACCCTTCCTGTACCCGGGCCCGGTGACACGATGGAATTAAAAGAGCTCAGACCCTCACTTTTATAGAGGTCGGAACATGTCATAAATATAAATGGATACAAGCATAAATAAATGTAGGAATAAAAACATGAATAAATATGATTCAGTGTTTTCAGTGAGATTTAATGTGTGTGCTGCGGCTCAGCTGGAAAGCAGTTGACTCATGACCGCAGGGTCTCTGGTTCAACGACTGAACAATACTTATTTTTTGTTGTTTATAAAATCTACAGCTAAATGAGATAATGTAGTTAATAAATGTATTCTTTGATATGGTTTAGCTTTCCTCAGGCTACAACATGGTTACGTTTATGAATATTATTAAGGAATACAAATCCCTCTTTGCAATGTTTACCAGCCTCCTTAGACTTGTCAATCACAATCATTCAACTGGAATAAAAACAATATTGTTAACATGAAAATATGATTTTATGTTCGTTGTTTAGAGTTATTCTAAGGCTTTACTCATTGGAAATTCGGTCTGAGATAGAGCACACTGTTGAGATGTCCAATCTGCCTGTTTTACACACTTTGACCAACAGGGGGTTTGTGTTCAAATGAAGCCCATGATGAAGCCTCATGAGATGAACCCTTTTGCGAACCAATTGGCTGAAAAGCTTCATAAGGCTTCATCTCACCATCACTAGTTACTAGTTACCTATTCCCATTCAGTAATTCCGTTATAGTTACTGTGATTTAAATGGGTGCGTTACATTATGTGATCCAACTGAACCGAATCTCCCTGCGGATGTAACTTACAGGCGAATACAGTGATGTCCTCTCACAGTACCATGGAAAAGTGAAAGTGACCAGAGAGCAAGGGCGCCGGAAGCGGGGGGGCCATTGGCCCCCCCACTTTACAGCCCTGCCCCACATTTTCGCAGCGACAGATGCCGCGGAACACTGTACACATCCCGTTTCAATAATTCCCCTCTACTCTAAAGTCGCATCTAAAACGCGATCTGATCTAGCTGTGTATATTTTGTTATTTTTGATTGTTATATTCAATCTCATTAGCTACAGGCATTTTTTAAGCTTGTAAAGGGAAGATGCAGCTCTCACTCGCCACTCTGCTCTTCCACAGCGCCGCTTCCCCTCCCTCAACCTTGAACCTTAGTGGTGTTTATTTTTCACGGAGCTCAGTTGCTAAGCGATCACACAACGTCACGTCCGGTATTTCCACAGCAACACAAATTGATTAACATCGTCCCTCCGCTGACATTATGAATGTAAGGCATAGTAATCATAGATAACATGTTACCTTTTATTACTATTAACGGTATCTCGGCACCGAAACCGTAGTTTCGAATACACACCGGTGGTTTCTGACTTGGCTCGTTGTCAGCCGGTAACCAGCTGCCCAGACATTTCGAGGGGAAAAAGGATGGAAACGAGGCGTTCGGGTGCCGTGGGAAGAACCTCCGTTTATTCACGTTCTTCAAGCTATATTGACACTGTATTACATACATACAGACTAGATACTATTCATTTTCTGACCACTTTCTCTATACTTTCGTCTCTCTCTCCATAACTTTGCACTTCGCCTTGGCCATCACATTTCACACACACAGACTCCAAAAACCCACAACCCCTTGCGGCTGCTACTCTTAAAGTGACAGGCCAAGCCTGTAACACTACCCCCACTCTGGATGATGATAAAACAACCTTTAACATCACTTCAGCATATAAACATTATAAAAGGAAAGCATGAAACATTAATGGCAACACATTCCCCATAATAATCCCCATTTCCCACAGTCATTGAAGGCGTCTTCCTTGCTGTGGAAACAGCTTGAATCATGAGGCAATGTCCATACAAATGTCCACGAAGCATACTGCATAGATCCTTTTTTTAACGTTTAAAAGGTGTATAAACACACATACTGATGTACATAACATACTGTGATGTAGTTAATCAACCCAGTTAAATTAAACACTGTGACTTTACTCTATATGATGTGGCTCTTAAGCATTACAATTGTCAAACAACAACAAGCAATCTTACCATCTGTTTGGTTTCTTTAACCAGTTACATCAAGTGTCAAAGCAGTAAAACAGTATCCACATTACTCATTACCACAGGCAACTAAATCAAACTGTGGATGTATAACAATATAATTAAATAACTTTAGCTTAAGAGCATAGAATTACTCTGGAACTCTTTTTTCTTTTCTTTTACTGAGTTAGGAACTAACCTGCTGACACCCTGACTCAGGTTAAACTTTAACAAACCCTAGTGACTGACCCAGTCACCTAACGTGTCAGGAGCTCTGCGGAGTCGCTGGGGTCTCTGTAGAGATCAAAAGTCGTTGAAAAACTTGTAGCTGAACAAATTATGAACCATCTGAATAACAGTGCTTTTTCTCTGCATCCAATGCAATTTGGCTTTAGGGCCAAATACTCTACAGAAACAGCCAACTGTTTCTTCACAGAACAAATCAAATCCAAAATGGATAAAGGTGGTGTTGTAGGAGCAGTGTTTCTCGACTTAAAGAAGGCCTTTGACACTGTTAACCACAACAAACTCATATCTAAGCTATCCAGCATTAACTTCTCCACACTAACACTTAAATGGATAGAATCATATTTGTTCAACCGTTCTCAGTATGTCAGAGTACAGAATAATCAATCATCTAACCTCCAGCTGTCCACAGGTGTCCCACAAGGGTCAATTCTGGGTCCATTGTTATTTTCATTGTATATAAACAACTTACCATCGATATGTCCTGACACAAACGTCCAAATGTATGCTGATGATACTGTAATTTATGTTCACGGAGGCAGTCTGACA